GATCTCTGTGAGTTCGAGACCAGCCTGGTCTACAGAGCTAGTTCCAGGACAGGCTCCAAAGCCACAGAGAAACCCTGTCTCGAAAAACCAAAAAAAAAAAAAAAAAAAGAGGGGGAATGGCCTGGTAGTACAGGCCTATAATTCCAGGTATTTGGGAGGCTGGGATAGGATTACAAGATCAAGGCCTGCCTGGGTACCTCAACAAGACCCTCTCAAAATTTATAATACCTTTTAAAGGGGATTCCAGAGGAATGGAGAGATGACTCAGATGAGAGAATAAATATGAGGACCTAAGTTCAGTCCCCAGAACCAACATTTTAAAAACTAGCCAGAGGCTGGAGTGACAGCTTAGTGGTTAAGAGCACTTGTTGCTCCTGCAGAGGACCCAGGTCTGATTCCCAGGACCCACGTGGGGCTTCATGACCATCTGTAACTCCAGGTCCAAGAACCCATTGCCCTCTCCTGCCCTCCACAGGCACCAAGCATGCACTTGGTGCACACACATGCATGGAGACAAGACACAAACTATAAAACAAATGAATCTAGTGTTAGGAATATAATAAATTTAAACATCCTGGCATTATGGCATGTGAATGGGGGTGGGGCACAGGAAGAAGACATGGGGCTGAGGACAGGACAAGAGGGTCCCTGGGGCTCGCCAGCCAGCCAACCTGGCCTGCTTGCTGAGCTTCAGGCCGTTGAGAGAATGTCTCTCAACATAGGTGCTGAAGAAGGGCGGGGTGGAGGAGACGGGAATGGAGGACAGTTATCAGGAAAAAGCAAAGAAGAAGGGAGAAGGGAATCTGCTGCACACTTGTGAAAATGCCATCAGGATAGCTAATACCCTAGATGCTAATGTTTTTATTTTTGTGGGGGGGAAAGTTGAGAGAGGGTCTCTCTGTATAGCCCTGGGTGTGCTGGAACTTGCTCTATAGGCCAGGCTGGCCTCAAACTCAGAGATCCACTTGCCTCTGCCTCTGCCTCTGCCTTCTGAGTGCTGGGATTAAAGATATGTGTCACCATGTCTGACCTGATATTTTTTAATGTGGATAGTGCCTGAGAAATGACATGTGATGTTGTTCTCTGGCCTCTACACCGGTACACACATTACCTGCACATACATGAATACACACACACACACACACACACACACACACACACACACGGCAAGGAATGTAGCTCACTGGTAGAGCACTTGCCTAGAACATTCAAGTCCCAGTAGCAAAAGTAAAGAGGCAGTGAGCAGATATCTTAATCTTAATGAGGAGGGCGGCATGGAAACAAAGCTGTCCCTTTAAATAGGGTGACCAAGGAAGTCCCAACTGAGCAACAGACATTTCAGCACACACTTGAAGGACTTCCTCCCTTTTTTTGTGTGTTCTCTGACAGTGTGTATGTATTCTGTGTCTATGTGTGTATGCTTTCTGTGTGTGCACATGCTCTGTGTGTATGTGTGTGCATGTGTGTGTGCATGTATGCATGCTCTGGAACCCATTGTTTGGTCCTGCTTCTCGAGCTACTTATGTCTCCCTCACAGGGCCGAAAGCTCCTCTCTGGAAAAGCTGGTCACACTCACTTCGGAATGCTCGGAAACCAGGCCTGACTCGGGAGACTTTGGCGAGCTCTGTCAATGAATACAGAAACTGACTGTCACATTAAATAATAAGCCCTGGCAGGGACTGTTAGGATTTTATGCTCCTTCACAACTATGTTCTTTCATATTAAGCAAACTACAAATTTCCTTATTATAATGTAGTGATGCAGGAGGGAATCAATAAAGCCAAGTATCCTTACGTGTATACAGATATACAACGGATTCTTTGAACTGTAAAGTAGATGTAAAAAATTCAGTTTACAAATTACAGCCTAGGGGCTGGAGAGATGGCTCAGAGGTTAAGAGCATTGCCTGCTCTTCCAAAGGTCCTGAGTTCAATTCCTAGCAACCACAGGGTGGCTCACAACCATCTGTGATGGGGTCTGGTGCCCTCTTCTGGCCTGCAGGCATACACACAGACAGAATATTGTATACATAATAAATAAATAAATAAATAAATAAATATTTTTTTTAAAAAAAACAAAACAACAAATTACAGCCTATATAGCCTTTCTGGAAACATCCAAGCTTAGAATAGAGCGGTTCTTCCCTCTTATAATTTAAAGTGGGTGGTGGGTGGGCGCTTGTGCACGGAGGCCAGAAGAGGACACTGGATATCCTGCTTTACCAGTAATTCTCTGCCTTATTACCTTGAGACAGGTCTCATTCTGAACCTGCAACTTGGCATTTTCACCTAGGCTTGTCACCAGCAAACCCCACTGAGCCTGCTTTCTCCCATCTACCTCCCCCTGTATATACATCACTGGGATTTATAGACACATGTGGTCACATCTGGCTTTTTATGTGGGTGCTGGGAACTAAAACTAGGTCAGCCTGTTAGTACAGCAAGCACTCTTACCCACTGGGCAGTTTTCCTAGCCTCTTCTTTAAATGTTTGCTGTATATCGTTCGATAGTCTAGCCTTGTGAAGTATTTCAAGTACTGACAGGTGTGGCAGTATACTCAATCCCAGCACTCAGGAGGCAGAGGCAGGTAGATCTCTGTGAGTTTGAGGCCAACCTGGTCTACATAGTGAATTCCAGGACAGCCAGGGCTACATAGTAAGACCATGACTCAAAAATAAATAAAGAAATAAAATATTTTAAAGGTGCTAAGTACTGGTGGGAGGATAGACACCTGTTTTGTTGGGTTTGGAACTAATGGGAGAAGCTGGGGTGTGAGCTCTTGTTCTGTGACTTTCTGAGCCATCATAGTCTCTTACCACAGTTAGATCGGTCAACGCGGGAATTGGAGCTGGGCCTTGACTATGGAACTCCTACCATGAACCTGGCGGGGCAAAACCTGAAGTTTGAAAATGGCCAGTGGGTAGCAGGTGAGAGGCCCTCCTGTGGCTTTGGTGATCAGGATAGCAGAAGGAATCCCCCCCCCCCTTTTCACTCCTGTTCCATGCTTCCTTTAGACACAGTGATTAGTGGAGGTGTGGATCGTAGGGAGACTCAGCGCCTGCGCAAACGGAACCAGCAGCTGGAAGAAGAGAACAATCTCTTGCGGCTGAAAGTGGACATTCTGCTGGACATGGTGAGCAAGGCAATCTGGAAGGGACGCCTGGGTGTCCCCTTCAAGGAAGCTCTGTCTTGAGTCAAGCCACCTAACTGATTTCCCAAGGGCTCATTTGCTGGGTACATAAAAGTCAGCCTTGCCACTAAAAGCTGGAACAGGGATGTGTAACAATACCCACAATGCCTGTGCCTATGGAAGGGTGTCCTTTAGTCTAAGCAGAGGCTGACATTGGCCCAGGGGAAGAAGTCTATTATTCAGTGGAGAGTTTCTCGGATGAAGATGAAGAAGTATGTGAGCCGAATGCCCCAGGGTAGTGTCAGGAATGAAGATTAGGATGAAGGCATCTCAGGTGGGGGTGTCCGCTCATGGTATGGAGGTATCCTGCCTCACACAGACTTAGTGCCCAGTGCAGACCTGCTGAGTGCGCATGCCCAATTAACGTCAGTCTCTTGTGTCTCCTGGGCCTGGCGGTGCTTGCACATAGTGATGGCAGACGTGATGGAGCTGATGGGAAGCTTTCTTGTCCTGCTGGCTAACTGCTGTTCACCTTAGCCAACAGCAGGGCAACTGGCCTCAGTGTAGCATGAATTCTAATAGGTCTTAATAATAAAAGCCCAGAGTCAGATATTGGGGGACATGCTGCGAGATCAGAGAGAAGAAGCAAAACCACAGCCATCTTACCTACTCAACTTCCCAGCTGAAAAGAGACTAAGTTCCTGCTTCCTCCCACCTTATCACTTCCTGTTTGTCTGTACAGACCTCCAGACCTCTATGGTTAGCTAGCAGTAAGCTCCACCCTCTGATCTTCAGGCAAGCTTTATTTTTATTTATTTATTTATTCTTTTTTTTTTTTTTTTGTTTTTTTGCTTCATGGTTTTTTTTTGGTTTTGTA